CTCACTTTGGAGACCAGGCTGGCCTCGAACTCACAGAGATCCGCCTGGCTCTGCCTCCCGAGTGCTGGGATTAAAGGCGTGCGCCACCACCGCCCGGCTCTTCACAGGTTTTGACTGAAAACTTTTCAGCTTCATGTGGAAACAACAACAACAACAACAAAAACCCAGGATAGTTAAGAACAATTATGAAAAATACAAGAAATACTGGAGGCTTGACTACATCCCACTGATTTAAATAAAATCATGATTTAAATAAAATCAGTTTACGGCAGACAGGGTGGACACTGAGGCCTGGTAAAGCAAGCACTAGCAGCAATCAAGTAGAAGGCAGCAGCTGGAACACTAAGAAGGACGTTCATCTGGATCCTTCACAAAATGGTTATTAGGAGAGGGCTGGAGAGATGGCTCAGCAGGGAGGAGCACTGTCTGATCCTGTGCAGGTCTTGGCTTCCAGTGGCTCACAGCTCACAACCTTCTGGTAACTCTACGTCTAGGGGACCTGACTCACTCTTCTGGCCTCCAGAGGAACCAGGCACACAAGCGGTTCACAGACATTCATTCAGGCAAAACACTAGCACACTTTTTTGTTTGTTTGTTTAAGATACTAGGAGAAAAAAGATTATGGGATGATGATAAGTTTTGTTAAACTATTGAAGATCTACGACCTACATAAAACATGAGTTAAATATATTTACAAATTTGAACAATCAAATTATTAAAAAAATTATGTTTCAAGAGTATTGGGAAATTAATAATTTCTGTTATTATATTTTGCTCTCTTACATATAAAACTAGTTTTGTGAATGCAAATATGTATAACATGCATGTGGCTGATGCCCTGAGAGGTAAGAAGAAGACATGAGATTCCCAGGAACTGGAGTTACAGATGATTGTGACTGAGCTCGTGGATGTTGGGAACTAAAGTTGGATCCTCAGCAAGAGAAACTAATGCTTATCAACAGTGAGCCATCTTCACAGTCCCTTGAATCAGTTTTAATGTAAATAATATATATATACATATACATATATATATATAAACGGTCATTTTCTACATATATACAAAACAGCCTATCTTTAGATATAATATGAATTAATTACTGAAGAAATCACATTTTTTGAGATGTGCTTTCAAATAGTATGGGGTTGGTGAGGGAACTGATTGGAAACATGAAAAAATAAGTCTGGCTGTGAGCTGTTTGGTGCAGACTGGTGACAGGTGTGTAGGGCAACATGTGGTTGACTTCTCTATCTGTTGAGATGGGGTCTAAAGGAACACAGGTCACAGTAACATTCCTAATCACTGAAGGTCGGTGACAGCCTCTCTGTTGGCATAAGAAGACAGTTGGACTCCAGGATGTCTATGGGAGAGGGGCAGGGCAGGCAGGGAGCAGAGGGATCTCAGCACATTCAGCAGGACCTGCAGAACCTTTGAGTCGGTGACTAACTGAGATACAGTGAATAAACAGCTGATTTACTGTATGGATCAAGTCAAAACTGGAGGCAGGAGGATTTTCCCTGACTAAAGGAAGCCAAAACTGCAACCTCAGTATTTCATAACATTTTGAATAATCTAGGTGTGACCTAACTGTGTGTAATTCCCTGCCCTTCCCACTCTGCAAGCTCCCTTCAGGACCAAGCCCAGCCCATCTATACTATATATAAGCAGCTGCCCAGAGCCTATCACGCTCATCTGCTCAGCTCTTCCCTATAGTCTCTCCA